GGAGCGGGAGGGGGAAGGAGAGGGAAGGAGGGGGAGGGAGAGAGGGAGAGAGAGAGAAAGAGAGAGAATACCTCAAGCAGGCCCCATGCTCAAGTGAAGAGCCCAATGCAGTGCTCTATCCTACAATCCTGGGATCATGATCTGAGCCAAAACCAAGAGCTGGATACTCAACCAAGGGAGTCACCCAGGCACCCCACAGGTGAGGGCTTTTTATTGGGGCCACGGCTCATTATCAGCAAAGGACCAGGAGGCTCCTCCTCCCCACGGGACAGGGCCAAGGCCATACCCCAGCTGTGGACTCCCTGACCGAAGGGTCAGCAAACTTGTTTATGTGAGGAGCCAGACAGGAGTACAAACAGTCTGGTCTATGTCACAAGCACGCAATCCTGCCGTTGCAGCAAGAAAGCAGCCACAGACGACACTTCCGTGATAGGTGGGGCCACATTCCAATACAACTTTATTTACACAAACAGGTACAGTTTGCCAACCCACCCCAGCCCCTCCTCCACACACCATCTCATTGTAGGTGGGGTTGCAGGTTTTCCGGGCCACTTTGGTTTTCTTCTTAGTGGTTTTCTGAGGGTCAGGAAGGAGGTAAATCTTCACGTAGGGGTCTGGGTCATTTCCATCCTGCAGCAGTTGCTACAAAGGGAGTGCAAATTTTACAAATGTTACAAAAAGAAGATTCATACGTCTGTGTCCCTATCACCATTCCTGTGATCACAACCTGATCCAGACCCTTCTCCCTCACACCTGGCTTCTTACAAGGCACCATAATTTGTCTGCTTTCCAGCTCACTCCCTTCTGATAGAAATATCTACCATGACAATGTTACGTGTCCTACCAAAACATCAATCCGATTGCCCATTACACCCAGTCTACACTTTTCATACAAATGCTCGGGGCATGCCATAACTTGGTCTGTTTCGACTGAGCCATCGTGTCCCCAGATATCTTCCTGCCTTGCCCAATGTCTTTGTCTATTTTGTCATTTGATCCAAGTAACCCCCAAGAGGTGCAAAATGAGTCAGAGAGATATTAAGTTGCTTGCTGAAGGCCAGCCAATTAGTGATTCATCCAGCCTGATCCTTTTTAATTAGATCTTGTCATGCCTCTGCTCAAAACCCTCCAACGGTTTCCATTTCATTCTGGGTAAAAGCCACAGTCCTGACTGTGGGACTCAGGTTCTGGAGTGCTGTGCCCTTTCCAACCCCAACATCTACTATTCATTCTCCCCTTTGCTCTGCAGCCTTCAGCCACAATGACCCCTTGCAGTTCCCAGCACACCCCAGGCAGGTTCCTGACTCAGGGCTTTGGGATTTAACTGCTCCCTCTACCTGGAACGGTCCTCACCTTGTTCCGTCTTTGCCTGAACACCTTGACATCAATGAAGGCTTCCCTGACCACTCTTTATAAAATTGTCACTACTTCACTCCACCCCAGTATTTGTTCTCTGCTTTATTCCTCTCCAGAGCACTTACCACTATCTGACCTGCCATGTATTTCACTCATCTGTTTGTCTGTCCGTCTCTTCCTACTAGAACGTAAGCTCCTTGAAGGCAGGGATTGTGTTTTGTTTACCCTTAGATCTAGAGCTAATAAATCCGTGCCCGGCACAGAGGAGGCACCTGATGAACATTTATTGAATGAATGAATGAATGAATGATGAATGAATGAATGAAGTTGTCCGAGTGAAACCCAGGTTGCTCTGATTCCAAAGTTCACGCCCCTGCCACACACCAATGCCCCAACCCACAAAAGTCCAGCACATGGCAGGTATTGAATGCAAGTTCCCTTCCCCTTCCTACCAACAATTTTGTGATTATATACTGCCTTATGCTCGAAGGACATCATGTGGGTGCCTTATCTCTACAACGAGGTAATAAACCCTTTGGGCCTCTTCCTCATAATAATCATCATAATTGCCACAACAGTAATACCAGGCATTCTGTTAAGTGCTCTGTATGTGCTATTTCATTGAAACCCTCCATAACTCTACGAGGTAGATACTAACATCTTCATTTCAATGAGGGTCGGGACACTTAGACAACTTGCCAAAGACCGCAGGTAGGAAGAACCTGTGTCTGGCGGTGCTTGCCTGCTTAGTCATATCTCAGGCCTGGCCTGGTAGCAGGGCCACTGGGGGTACTCAGTAACTTCTGTGGTTACTCTCATGAGAGGAAGGGAGAAAACTTCTGACCAGTCAGAAAACTACCGGAAGAAAGATACAGAACCACGTGAAGCCTGTGTGTGTGTACTTACCAAACCCCGAATATGCATCACCATGATGAAGAGTTTATTGTTTTTGTAGGAGATGGACAACTTCACCTCCCCTCCCACCTTCCCAACGGGCCGGGCCCATGAGCCGTCTGGAGGGACAAAGAAACCAAGAAAGGTCACAAAGGAAGTCTCGTCCCCAGCTGGTGCCAGGCAGTTGTTTCCGTTGTCCTCTACCCCTTCCCCCCCACCCATCCCCCAGGATCTCCCTGTCAGGTTCTTGATATCAGATGGGGGAACTGTCAAGTGATGTCTGTGAACATGATTCAGAATCGGGTTGAGATGTTCTATCCAGTTTGTGTGGTGTAATGAGCAGGCAGATATCCAGTCGCTGGGAAACCTGCACGAGGAGCCGGGGGCCCCACAGCCTGAGGGGGAAACCAGATTCTCCAGCCAGTAGGCGAAGAGACAGAGGCAGGTCAAGGGAAGAGAACTGGGGAGGGAGGGGGGGCAGGAGAGATGACCTTTGGGAATGGTTCAGAGAGGTTGGCAGGAGCGTCACAGAGAAGGCAGCGTACCTGAGGACTTAGGAGCTGGGCTGGTGCCCGTAGCCTTGTCATCTCGGGGCAGGGGGTGGAAAAAAGTGTATACCAAATCACACTGAAATGATATCAGACACAGAGTCACTCTTCAAGAAGGCAACGGACCCATAAAAAAAGGCAAGGGACTATTCCAGATTTAAAAAAACTTGATAAAACGGAACCACCAAATATCTTATGCACTTCTTATTTGGATCATGGCTCAAACCAACCAGCCATGATCTCATGGCCAACCAGCCATGGCTCAAACCAACCAATTCAGTAAAAAGAATTTGGGGGATGACAGGGAGATTTTCAATATGGACTATATATTAGATGGTATGATTTCTATAGCTTTATAAAAATACATAGTATTTAGGGATAGAATGTCATGATGTCTGGGATTTAGTTTAAAATACTTCATACAAAAAGAGATGAAGCAAATAGGGCAAAACATTAACTGTTTGGGTGATGCAGATATAGGCACTCACTATACTGCTTCTCTGCTTCTCTAGATGTTTGAAAGTTCTCATAACAAAAGTTCTTCAAAAAGGAAAAAAAAAAAAAAACCTAAGTCACA